TTCACTCCCGGCACCCCAACACGGAGTATGAAATTTAGCCGTGACCTTGGTCACTACAAGAACAAGTATAAGCAAGGGCCTCTCTGCCTCCCATTCCTTGGTACTGACTATAAACACCAGGCCTTATCACTGCTAGGAGCAGTCACTGTCTGGAAAAACATGCTGCTGTTTCAGAAAGTGCTGTTAGTTAGAGGAGACTTAACTGAGAAGTTAAAGCACTAAACCAGAATTGGTTCTGGTTTAGCCCAAACCAGGACAGAAGCCCTTTTGTTATTGATTAACACTCACAGTTGCATAGGCTGGCTGTCTCTTTCTAGGAGCATCACTTAGGTTCTCTCAGGTTCAAGCTTCTGGTAGTGGAAGGAATAATGGAAAAAATCAGTAGTAGTAGCTGCATACATATTCATTACATTGGGTATACGTTGCCTCAGTTGTTGGCATTTGATTTTGAGGTGCTTGAAAAATTTCCTTAAGAATACACAATGTTAATGTTTCCTTTTACTGTAATCATTACCAAAAACTCTAAAGTAGAACTTATCTTAATTTTTGTGTAATTTGGGATGAAACTTCCCTTATTCAAGACAGCTTATAGTACATGTGTGATTGCCAATAGATGCTATGTAAAATAAAATTAGGTTTTTTTGGAAGAAGGTTCATTTTCTCTGAGTAATCATGTTTTGTGAACAAGAGTTACTACTTTTTAACTAGTGAGAGCTGCTGCAAGTTAAATGTTTGCCTCAGCGATTTTGTAAATTCATAGAATCATAGAATAGTTTGGGCTGAAAGGGAACTTTAAAGGTCATGTAGTCCAACCCCCCGTGTAGTGAGCAGGGACATCTTTACCTAGATAAGGTTGCTCAAAGCCCCATCTAATCTGACCTTGAATGTTTCCAGGGATGGGGCTTCTACCACCTCTCTGGGCAGCCTGTTCCAGTGTTTTACCACTGTCATTGTAAAAAATTTCTTCCTTCTATCTAGTCTGAATCTGTCTCCCTTTCGTTTAAAACCATTACGCCTTGTGCTATCACAACAGGCTCTGCTAAAAAGATTGCCCACATCTTTCTTATAGGCACCCTTTAAGTACTGGAAGGCTGCAATGAGCCTCCTCTCCAGGCTGGAAAACCCCAGGTCTCTCAGCCTTTCCTCATAGAAGAGGTGATCCAGCCCCCTGATCATCTTTGTGGCCTCCTCTGGACTTGCTCCAAGAGGTCCATGTCTTTCTTATGCTGAGCTTCATAGCAGAGCTTTTGTCTAAGAACTGAATGGAAGATGTTCCATGGAAGAGTACATTTAGTGACCTGGTATTCAATTGAAATTCAAGGTGTAAGGTTTGTTTTTTTACAATTGGACTCTTTTCAGCATGCCAGCTGGTTTGGCTTTATAAGCTGGGGTCCATGGAATATGTTGTTTTAACAAACACTGCTCTGTATTATCACTGTGTCCTCCTTTATAGAATGCTTTTTAATACATCTGTTGGGACAGTTAATGGGCAAAGATTCAGTAAGTTGGAATAAAGCACCTGTAGTTCTGTTAGGTGCAAAAATGAAACATGAAAGCAAACTAAAAAACTCACTGTCTCCTGTAGTTCAGAAATCTCTTAATGCTTAAAATTAATTCAGAATAAACTCCAGCTGGTCTGGTGTTACCTTATTTGTTTGGGGTTTTTTTGGTTTGGTTTTTCTTGGCTAGTGCTAATCAGTATTTACTTGAAGGTTGTGAATTAGACCCATAACATCTCTGTGCAATTAGGGATTTTCTCTTACGCTTATGTGGTGTCTGGGAACCAACTTCCAGTTCTTCTTCAGCCATGGTAAGGTTTGATCTATCTAGAATTGGGTTTGCACACAAGAATTGTGTGGAAAAAATAACAAATCAGAAAAATATCTTAATTCTTCAGTTTCAGAATACCTACAGAATTGTCAAAAAGGTTGAATAAAGACCCTCAGTAATAATCTCTGTTTTCCCATATATAAAATTTTTTTTGGGGGGAAAAAAGTTCAGAAATCTGGAAGATAAAACAAAGTGAGATGCTGAGGCCTGGTTGTTGCCAGTGGCCTCCATGCTGTCCTGGGGCATCCTCTTGTGCTTTGGTTTCTCTTTCAGTGAAACCAATGATGATCAATACCTGAGCACTTTACAGTGAATGGCACAAGGTTATGGTTCAGTGTTACTCTAATAAGCATAATAATAAGATCATGTTAAGTCCCCTTCTGCCTTAAGGTGATCTTTCCTGAAAGATTTTTCAGATTGGCCTGTCTCAGCAGAAAATTATTGTGGCATGCAGCAAATAAAAATTGTGCATTGAGACTAAGTCTTAAAAAGAATTTTTTTTGACTAAATATTGCTGGAGGTAAAAATTCATTCTCTGAGTTGGAATCTGTGTCAACCATGAAACCTGGAATAGTGCGAGTTTCCTCAGGGCGTATTGTACTTACAGAATTTATTGGAAACAATGCAGGGATAAGGATGCTGTCAACAGAAATACTAGAATTCTCATATTTATTGACAACTGATATGCATAGACAATTTGAGTGTATAGCAGAGAATATTATTTGTCTATTTGTTATGCAAATAGAACTCTATTCAAAAAGATAGTGGGAAAAAAAGATTAATTGTGACATCAGTAAGATTGTGCCCTCTGAATGTTATCTTAAAGGGTAATTTATTATTTGAGGTGTCTGGTGTTCTGTATTTCATTTGCTTTCAGTCAGTTTTTCATTACAGGAGGATGTTGCTGCAGAGAGGAGAAAACAGGCTGTAATAGAACAAGTGATGGTGGATCAATTATCCAGGTAAGTGAATTTATAATGTAAAATTTCAGTTTTCCCAACAGAACAATTTACATCTGTGAGTGTGTGGCTTTTCTTGCCTAGCAGGTATTTTGGTTGTCTCATTGCAAGTCTTACTAGTGTTACTTGCAAAAATTCTTTAAATGAAAAGTCTTTTTAATTTAACTTAGAAGAAGATCAGTTTAAAGCACTATGTGTAAGTTCGTTTATTTTCTGAGAATAATTTTTAATTTTATACTTGAACCTATTTTAAGGGCTTTACAATAGCAGTAGTTCTCAGAAGTAACCTTTTTGCACCTCAGCAAAATATATGAATGCCTGCTGTTACAAATTACACTTCTTCAGTATTTACTGTCTTTCCTAAGAATCTTGGACAACATCCCTTAGGAGTAAAGGAGTATTATACCGATGTTGGGCAGGTAGGAAAAAAAGGCATAATGATGAATCGAGTTGATCAAGGTTGCACAGGAAGGCTCTCCTAACTTCAGTGCTATCCTTTTAGCTCCAAGAAGGCATTGCTTCTATGTAGAACGATCCCTTTATGTGTTAAGAGTTAAAAAAGAAAAGTAACTCACAGATAAAGATCAGTATAGTAAAAATACCTTTCCTTGCTGTTATTCCCATAAACTTGTGCTCCTTTTTAAGCATGCCTTAATAATTCAGGGCTTTATCCAAGTTGTCTGGTTATGGCAATATAGGATGGTGCAAGCTAGGTTAATATAGTTTCCTGTTACCTTACACTTGCTAAAAATCGACTGTGGGAAGGTCTACAGTATGTTGCATTCTGTGCTTAGTTTACAATCTCTGTAGTCGTCTGTACTGATATAGCTCATCAGATCTTAAGGCTCTGAGGTTGAAATGTCATTGCACTTCACTTTATTTTTTCTTTGTTTCTGTTCCAGCTGCACTTTAAATTACCTATATTGTTTAAAAGTCTATTAATCCTTTTACAGTATCTGAAAGCTCAGATATCAAGAAAGTTGCATGAAGGAAACAAGTTTATAACAAAACACAATGTTAAATTCCAAGTGTCAGTGTAGCAGGGTTAAAAATATGGAAGTGCTTAGTGCAGAAATCCCTAGTTTTCAAAGAAATGCTTGTCCCATGCCATATCTCTACAAAGATGTAGGTAAAGCAGATGATTACAGAGGTTATCTTAAAAATGTGCTGGTTGTATTGAAGTGTTTCAATCCTGCTGATGTTGGATTAGACATACGTGTTTGTGCATCTTGGGTCACGGATGTTCATTCTGTGCTTAACCTCCTTCACCTGCTTCCCCTTATTTTTAACATGTGTTCCTTCTCCTACTCTGAACTCTTCTGTTGACAGTGTCAAAACAATATTCAGTAGTGCTGCAGCTGCATCAGAATGAACTTTTAATTAAAAAAAAATCTCTGTTTATGTTCTAAGTATAACTGCCAGTACTGCCAAACAAATTGGTATCAGAGCGCAGGATGTTAATCGGGCAAGATTGGTTCAAAACCATTGCATGAAAAAAATCTATTAAAGGAAACACAAAAGGTGTTTTGATTTTGTTTTGATTTTTTTTTTCTTAGTAGAGCCAATCTCGCAGTTAAATCAGTGTAATTGATGTGTGCAAAGATGGATCGGCGTAGATCAGAGAGCAAGTTTATAAAGCTACATTAGCTGCACAAAATTATTTTTTCCATCTGATTATGAACCATTTCAATAACGTAAAAAGAATCTAATTATTTTAAAGGGTCTCTTCATTTGTTTACTTGTTAAACTGATACAGAGAATATCAAAATGTTTGGAAACCAGTTCATCTGTTTCTTGTCTACTTGATGGGGCTTTGAGATCCTATGGGCTGCGCAGTCGGTGCTTTGGGAGAGGAAGTGCCAGTGATTCTGTGGGATGATGTCACTGGCCAGTACTAGTAACTGTTGTCACTGATTTTGGAGGGAGCCATGAGTAATGAAAATCAATGATGGAATTTTTACAGAAATAATGGAAATGCGGGAGGGGAAACCCTTTGTAATCCTAAGATTTATTTTATATATACATATATAAAATATACTTAAAATAATACGTGTATACATGTAAAGTTACTACATAGTAGTGCACTACTGGAGTATTATTGCCTATGTGTCATTTTGAGTAACAGACTTCAGAATTTGTAAAAACTGTAAACAAACAAATAATATCACGAATTTATGCAAGCTTAATGGATAACTCCCAAGATTTTATTGCTGTGTTACTCTTGGGTGTTTTCTTTCCTGAGTAAGAATAGGTAAGATCTGAAATTCAAACTTACTAATAGTCAGAGGGCTTCTCCCTGCTTTTTCTGGTCAGAGCTGTTATAAGCGACCCAGAGCAATCCACGTGTGCTGATGTTTACAAGGAAGCTCGTGGTCTTCTGGGACTTGGGACAGCACCAATGCGGTTTAGAAAAAGAACGCTGCATGATACAAAGTAAGTTTTTCCTAGAGGTCATTTTTTTTAGAAATACATTTTTCTGCTGTATTTTCTGTTATTCTGGGCTCTGCGAAGTCTGTTTGCCTTTCCAGATGTTTTATTTCTGGCTTGGATCCACCAGCTTCATGTGAAGCCTTTTTTGTAGCCTTCCCATGCTTAGAATTGCCTATTGGGACCTTTTTTATGTAGATTCTCTGTGTATAATGATTGATTCATAGAATTTATAAAACCTGGGAGAACATTCTTAAGCTTATATTGATATTGTTCATCAGAGGGTTTTGCCAATGTTTTCTGAGCTGTTGGATGCTTGCAATCTTGTCATATCCTTTTAGAGATTCCTATCCTGAGGTGCATAAAATTGCATAAATATGCATCCGTAAATGCTAATGTAGATCTTCACAATATGATCACACTTTTCTTTCATGTTTTGATTTCTGCTGCAATAATTAACTGTATTGGCATTTAAGTGTCATTCCTGGCCTGGCAGCGTTGAAGTGGTAACTCCAAGGCCTTAAGAAAAACTGAGAAAACGTTGTGATCCGTAAAATTAAAGGAATCTGCAGGACTGAGTTTTGTTCTGTTAATCTTTCCTAACATGCAGACAAACATCTCTGCTTTGTGAATTTTCACATCCTGGTCTAAAGTCTTTCTCAACAAATGTCATATTTGTAGTCTTAAAAAAAAAAAAAAAAAAGCCAACAAAACCAGTCTCAATCTCTTACACCGATCACATGGATAAATCTCCATTTCTGGAAATAGTAAAACTAGTAATATGGCCAATGTAAAATCCCTACGTGGGTAAAGAAGCCCCAACCTGGGTGTTTTTGCAAGAAAACACTTTGATTTGTGGAAGTGTGATGAGTGGTAGAGATTTCATTCTTGATGTAAGTGTACGTAAACAAAATATCCCATTCATATCTATACCTCCTGTGAATGTACTCTCATATGATACAATTACAGAACACCTTCCACATTACAACTCTTGAGTTCTTTCTAGTTCAACTATGAGGGATCATCTGCTCAGCCAGTTGCCAAGGATACCGTATTTCACTTTTTTTGCTGTTTTGAAACAGTTGATTTTTATGTAACATTTCTCTGTGAGCATATAGGTATCATTGAGGTGCTGCATTATTTTCACAGAATAAGGACCAAATCAGGATTAACTGAAAACATGCTTTCTAACAAGCTACGCTTTGATAGTAGGATTGTATCGAGGTAATCACAAATTTTGTGAAGCATTTGTTTTCTGTGAATTTATGAATGATGATCTTTACCCTCTTGAAATAATTAATTGCACTGAACCCTTCCGTTCCCTGTGTTTAGAAAAAAGTATGTGCTGTGTGGGTATGTGTATGGACACATGTATAATACAAATTTTGACATGGCTGATGGATAGTGGCTTTTCAGTCCCAGTGTACAGTGTTAAGATGCGTAAGTAACGTTACCATCACACACATAGCTCTGTGCAGGACAGTTAGCACGGGGCTGTGTAAAATTGTGCTTTTAGCTCTTGCACTTCAGCTGATTAAAAATTGTTTTAGTCTTGTCTTGATGTGTGCCAACCACAGTGGATGGAAACGATGGCTTTGTGTTTTGTTTGTAGCTCCTTACGTATTAAACTTGCAGGTTTAGGGCATCTTTGAAGCTGTTCTGAATTGAGTAGCAGTGGCATAAACGTATTCTTCAGCTCTGAAAGTGGCACTTTTCTGAAGCAGGGAGCTGTATGCTTGTTAGATATAGCTGAGGATTCAGCCCCAGAGCTTCATATACCGTAATCATAGAATCATTAGGTTGGAGTAGACCTCTAATATCATCAAGTCCAACCGTTGACTTAATACCAATGAATGCAGTAGTCCTGGTGTAAGTAATCCGTTAGTCAACGAGTGACAGTTATATTGGTACACTGAAACATGAAGCCTTGAAAGGTGTTTTTAACATTACGGAGAATGAAATATTGCATTAAAATATGTGTCCAAATCCAGAAGTTGAATTCCATTGTGGTTTAGAGAAATAGTCAGATACCTCTTTCAAAGAAAAAGATTGTACAATATGCAACATTGGAAATAAGATGCATATTCCAAAATGAATGTTATTTATGTTTGGGTTGAGTTGGATTTTTATAGATGCAAAAACATGAAGGTGCTTTTCAATTTTCCTTCTAGAAATGGTCGCGATGCTTGTAGAGAGTTGATTGGATTTTTTTTTGCATGTGACAGATCCCTTACTGTGTACGAATTTCGACAGTTTGGAAGAAATAGGTACGATAAATTACTTTTAAAAAGGTTTTAGAAAACATCTTCCACTGTATCTAATAAACTTAAATGAATTTAATTGTTTTAATAGCAATTTTGAATTATTTCACAGAACAAATGCCTTGCCTTTCATTCAGAAGGGAGTTTATCAACATCAACGTGGACAAAGGAAGGGAAAAGCTTATGACCTTAGTGACTTCTATATTGTAAGTATTACTCTGCTGAATGTAAGGCAGTTTTGTTGGTGATTTGGAATTATATTTAGATATTAGAGCTGAAAATTGTGACCTAGCTTTCAGGGAAGACCAAAAGCCCTTTGCTTCAGTAACATCTCTGAATTAAATGTTTTTGGGAGTCTGGATCGTTTTGCTGTCCCACTTTTTTAGAGATTCCATTTTTGGCTTCAGGTTGAGCTGTAGTTTGCAATTTTCCCACTAGAGGCCACAAGACTGCAGACAGTGCGGACATTTTTGAACAGCTCGGGAAGGAGAGCCTGAAGATGAAGTAGACCAAAGTACTTGTTAAAAGTTAATAATCTTTGCAAGGTCTGCTGGCATTTTTGACACGAGGCAATTCTTAATATTTTTTTAAACATGAGAAAATTGTAAGTTAATTGGTTTTAACCAAAAGTTTGAAAATGTTTACCACCAGCTGTTTAGAGAGAGCTTTTGAAAAAATTATAAACTTCATCTACCAGCTAATCTGATGGCTGACTACAAACCATATTGCATCTTCTGTACTTCTGTACTTGGTTAAGTGTTCCTGGTTTATAAAGACTTGAGCAATTTTTCAAGTAGTGTTTTCACTGGGTTCTTCACATCTTAAGTTTAGAGCAAAAATCGTGTTTGAATGAAGTATTGAAAGTAAAAGAAGACAACTAGTTTTCAGAGTGTTTTGTCTAATCTCCTGTCTAATTCTAACTGTTTACATGTAAATGTACAATGTAAAAGTTTCCAAGAAGAAATAGATTACTTTCTTTATGGTATGGAGGTTGAAGCTATTTTTTAGAGATTTTTTTTTTTTATTAATTGTCATCTGTGTCTTTGCAACCTGCAGATGAATAAAGATACATCTTAAAGCCATCCGGAAAATGTACTGCTACCAAGCTCAATAGCTCTTTGGAATGAGGTCATCTCTGTGAACCTCCATATTTGCAAACTGGGTTTCTGGGCTGACATTAAGATCTACAAATCTCTCACAAAGTCCAAATGGTTGAGACACTTGCACAATAACAGTGTCTCTGTCTCCTTCCTAATTTATAAGTTTTGGAGGCTTTATAACCCAAGCCTGCATGGATATTACAGTAAAAGCTACTGCTTTTTTTGTTTGGTTTTTTTTTTCAGCATTCTTTGCTTTTAGTTTGCTGCTTTTCTTTCTCTCCCCTACACTCTTCTCCCAAACCAAAAAGCATCTTTAACTTTGCAGAATATGTGATGTGTGTCCTCTGTCCCCAGCTTGGAGGGAAGGGGAATTTGTAATTCTCAGAAGAGAGTATACTGGGTAATAGAACTCTGTGCTACTAATAATATATTTTTATTCAATACTTATTAGTGAAATCTAACAATTTAAAAGAATAATTTCATCATGAAATATTGCAGGAATGATTTGAACTTTGGGAAGGCTACTTCTTAGTTGTTTATGTCAAGTGTGATTTTAAGTTATTGAAAACAACTGTGAAGGGTTTCTTCTAGTCTGAGAGAACTTTGCTCTCACGGAATCAATGGCATCTTCTGTGACTCTCTTCTGTGGCCCACTGAGTTTTGGCTCCCACAAGGATGAAGGGAGAAGAAAAATTGAAAAGTAGAGCCTGGCTGAAGGAACAACAATCTGTAGTCTCATGTTTCTCACCTCTAGATTAGGCAACGGTAGGCCCTCTTACTAGACAGACCTCTATGTGGAGAATAATGTGTCATCTTGGAGCCTGCAGCTGTTTTTATTTGGTACTAGAAAGGCTCTGTTAAGAAGGTTAACTGACCTTAGCTACACGTTTTCATGATTTCATACCAAGGCTTTTAACAATCTCTTGAAAGTCTTGCAGAATGTATTTTATGAAATACTTTACTTATTTATAAATCTGTGTGCTTTACCAACAGGGAGCAAACCTAACTTTCCGAAGCGCTGATCATAACCTTCCAGAAAGCGTTAAGCAGAACCCAGTTCTCACCCTTCGTGTGATAAGTATTGATGAAGCAGCTCTGGATTTGCTAAAGTAAGTGCAGCTAACTGTTTTCCAAATTACCTTTCATTCCTTAAGCAAAAAAGATTTTTTTAGTAAGAGCTTCTAAGATTTTATTACTTATACTGCTAAAAAAAAATAATCTGTATTTAGGTTGTTGTTAGGAAAAAGTAATAGATGTTAGTGGATGTTCTGTAATTCAGTAACTTTCTAGAATGTTAAGGAGTAATTTTAAAATAAAAATTAATTAAATTATGAAATTGTCTTATCTGCTTCATTCGAAGTCAGATGTTTCTATGTACAAATCATACTGAAACTTTTTATGTGATGAACTAAAATACTACGTTTAAGGAAAAATGTTTTTTTTTGTTGATCAACATTATTATTATTGAATCTTTTGTGAACCTTAAATTAAAGCTTCTATCAGTCATGATAACACAAGTGTTTGAACACAGGCAGGGGAAGGATTGGAGGTTTCTCTCTTTCTGTTTTTTGTTTTTCATTTTCTTTTTCCTTCCTTTTCCTATCCATTCTTCCAGATATTGCCACGTGTTGAAGACTTTAGGCACTGGGACAGGACTTCTGCACTTACTCTTTCAAGATAGGGTTTAGCAAATTATGTTGTTCCATAGTCTGAAAGATAGGGGAATTTCTTAGAAATTTTCAAATAGTTAGGTGAATGTTTAATGTTTGCGTATGTGTTATTTTTGAAGGTAATATTCTCATCTCAATATCTGTACAGAAGTAAACTGTCTAGGGAATGAAGCATCTTTCTCTGGGGTTTCTGGCTTTTATTGTGAATATACTGGTTCTTAGCACAAATAAAATCTTGGTATAAAATTTATCGCGCTGTTATCCTGAACGTGGAAGTGACTTAACAGTGTTGGAAATACAGTTGGAATTTGATTACTCAAATTTTGGTGAGGTGTGTTAGCCGAAGGCAGATGTAACAAGGTAGAAATTTTCATAAAATCATGGAGTAACAGAAAGAGACCTCAAGAGGGTCTCTTGTCCAACCCTTTGCTTAGGGCAGGATTTACTACAGCAGCTCGTTCAGGGCTGCATTCAGTTGGGTTTTTAGTATCTCCGGGGATGGAGACTCTGCAACCTCTCTGAGCAACCTATCCCAGTGCTCAGTCACCCTCACAGTACAAAAGTGTTTCCTGATGTTCAGAGGGAACCTCCTGTGTTTCAGTTTGTGCCAATGGTCTTTTGCCCTGTCACTGGGCTCCACCTAGCAGAGCCTGTCTCAGTCTTCTTTAGTCCCTCCTGTCAAGGTGTTGATACACATTGACAGGATCTCTTCAGCCTTCTCTTCTCCAGGCTGAACAGTTCCAGCTCTCTGGGCCTCTCCTCATATATCAGATGCTTCCCTTCTTGACTAGGAACAGCAATAACATAATCTTAATTAAATGTGTTCAGTATCTAAAGACTACTTTTGTTAGCACAACTTGACTATTACCGTTCTTTCTGTAAATGTTTAGGCACATGAAGCTTGTTCTCAGTTACGGTAATATTCACTTTAAGGTCCCTTTACACTGAAAGCTTTGCAGAGGGGCTGTAGTGAGCTAAAAGTACACAACACAGTAAATTCAAATGTAATTGGTGATAGAAATATATAGTTGTATGATGCTTAGTGCTAATAGTTCCCTCTCTGCAAGGTTTCCATGAAGTAAAACAAAATATAGTTTAATTTGGAATAGTTTATGTAAGACATTTTACATCTCAGTAGCCTATCATTCTGGTAAACAGCTTTTTCTTTCATTTGTTGCTAATCTTATACCTGTGAAATTTGGAGTGGATCCAATGTTATCTCTGAAGGCTCCAGAAAGAAGACCTGCTCGCTGGGTTATAATTTTGGATTTTCTGCTACCTGTGGTGGAACAGATTGTTTCTTTTTTATACTCTCTATGTTCTTTCCATTTGTGACGTCTGTCTTTTTCTTCTGAATGGAGGCGTTATTGAACTCGGTGTTCTCTGGTGCAAAACTCTTGAATTGAGTCCTCTTGCCTCCATTACTGTACTCAGAGAAACCTGCCCAGGTACAGTCCAAAAGGTCCATTGCAGGTTTTCAGGAGCAGCTCTGCCCTGCTGTCACAAGCCATGAATCTTTTGTTTTACTTGTGTTTTAGAGAGAGTATGCTGTCCTCTGTAGGTAGTTGTTGACTTTCCAGTTTAGGTGGTTTGATATAGGGCAGCTTTTAAGGACTTCATAATGGGGGGTGTCCGAAGTGGAGATGAAAAGTTTTAATAGATAGCAGAGAGGTAAGCCTTTGGCCTCAGAAAGCAGAAGGAAGAGTACTCCATGGCAGAGCACTGCTGAGCAAGCAGCTCAAAGTCGACAGTAGTGCTTTTCCATTTTGCCTTCCTATTCTGATTAAGATAATTATAGGGCTGCTTTTTTTTTTTTCTTCCAGTAGATTCTTTCACAGCATTTTTTTATTTTTTAATAATTTCTGATGTGGGTTTCTGGGAAGCCCTTCTCAGAAGGGAACTTGCCAGACAAAACACAAAATGTAACTGCAATTCCTAGATCACACCTAAGATGCTGATCCAGCTTTTGGTCTACACCCTTGCTATTTCTCTTCTAATGAGAGATTTGTAGCTACTTCATGTTATCTTCCTGTTGGTAGCTAAATGTAGTTGCTTTAACAAACTCTTCTAGTGGCCTGAGCTGAAGATTAGGACTGTCCTGAAATAAATTCCTGGAGATTTTATGCATGGGAGGAATTGTCCATGATTAATGAATTTGTAGAGGAGCTGCTAATAGAATATTGTCAGAAAGGAATTTCTGCATATCTGTAGCTGTTCGGCAAGGACTTTTGTGCGTGTCATCTCAAACCCGGGCAATTGGATACTGTACTTATAAGGGTAGTACAAAAATTGAAGTTCAATATGGTTTTGACTACAGCTGTTTTGAATTCAGTAATATTGCATGTAATTTCACCAGTCAACATTAATTTTGATTATTTTAGAGCTTCTATTGAATTCAGGCAAGAGTGTTCCAAGCATGCGGTCGACGACAGCGAAGTTTTCAAAAAGATTCAAGGTTTGTGTCTATCAGAACTCATTTAATTTTAATTTCTGTATCTCTACCTTTACAGCTCCACGCAAGGAACAATAGTGACTTTATATATACATTTCATTTGTGTAAATGAAATGAAACAAAAGGTAGATATTTATCAGAATATTACTAGAATCTGATACCAGCATAAATTGATCATAAGAATACTTTATCCTCTCTCTTTCTTTAAATAAACAGTCTGGCTGAAGATCATGGAGATGATATGGAATAATTGTGAATGTAATCAATAAAATGTTACTCTCTATGTCAACATAATGCCTGAAAAAAATGCTGAAACATAACAATCCTATGTTAAACTGGCGTTAAACTAAAACATTATGAGCAAAATGTACAAACACAATCTCATTTCTTCAGTTAATTTTGCGCTAGATACTTATTTTGGCCATTATTTCTATGCATTAATTTGGGGGTATTTGATAGTCTTTAATATTATGCTTATTATATGTGAGTATAATTGAGTAGTATATTCTGGAGTATGTGAATAAATTTTTCTAGTTTCCTACCTACAGGCTTTAGGACAAGGGCATAGCTTTGTGTTTAAAATTATGGAAAGATGCTTATGCAGTGCTGTGTATTATTTTCATAACCTGTGGTCAACAAAAACTGTTGAACTGAATAGCTTCCAGCTTGTAGAATCTCCACTATTTACTGTCAATAGCTAAACCTGTTTTAAATAGGCACTCTGGTCACTGAAAACTGCTTGGACATTTACTTTTAGACAAATTGTTGGAGTAATAATTAGGGATATTTTTTAATCTTCTAGTTACTCCATTTTTTCCCCTCACAGATAATAGACACAAATTGATTCCTCAGTTGTCTGACTACATCTAAGGTTTGCTGGTGTGGCCTGGAAGAAGGTTAAGTGTATATACTACAAGACATATTTGAACATACATCTGAGTTTGAACTTTGCTGGAAAAAAACGTTCCTTCTTTCACTGCCTCCCCCCCACCCCCCGTTTTGCTTTATAATTGTAGATACAAGTAATTTGAAGATATAATATGATAACAGCAGATGACAGAGTATGCAGAGAAGCTCTGACATCCCCAAAGTAAATCTGCTACGTAAAGATTTTGATAAGGCTGTCATTTTTACCATAGAAATAGTTCTCTGCATATTATTTTGGAATGATGCTGCGGAATTACTTATATTTGTTCTTATTTCCACATGGAATGTTTGTATTACTGAAGTAGTGTTCCTAAGCTGCTTTGTGTGTTGAATTGTGGTATGGAATCAGTTCTAGCAGTAAGTAAGCAGTTTTATAATCTGAGCACATAGAGGGCGACAGCCATTCTTCCTTTCCTTCTGTGATCCATTCAAAAGTTTTGTTAGATGTTGCTGCTGCTTTATATGATTTCTACCTAAATGTTAAGTAACTGATAGTTTAATTTTGAACTGACATTCTCTCATCAAAGATAAGGGAGCCTGGATGTGTGGATATGTAATTTAAAAGGCAGTATGACAAGTACTTGCGGTTTTCTTTACTTTTTTTTATTATCTTTGCAGTAAGTGGCCAACTTCAGGTAAACATTGTCCTTTGTTTCTCTAAATCCTCAGGTATACTCAGAGAGACGCTAAGTAAAAGAGGAGTTCGGGTTATAACAGGCTTAGGAAAGTATTTCCGACAGGTAGACAAGAACAGAAGTGGTTTTCTTTCTCAGGCAGCCTTTAAAGAAGCTCTAAAAGTATTCCATTTGGAAATGCCTGAAGGGGTAAGTCTAGCTGAAACTCTAATCATGGGTGTTATCTTACTTAAATTTTGGAATCTTTTCTTTTCTTTGCTTTAATCTATAGTTTAATAGCTGTTTTTTGCGAGGGTTTTTTGTGGTTTTTGGTTTTTTTTTTTTTTTTTTTTTTTCCCCTTGGGGAAGGTATTTTGGTATTTCTGCATTCAGTTCTGTGTGAAATTCTTAAAGATAATAAAAAATTTAAAAACGTGCTATCTTTTTACATCATGAAGAAACAAATGGGATTGCAATCTATTTTTTTGTTGTTGTTTTTGCCTTTTAATAATAATTAGGATGATGCTATTTACTTATCTCTTTTCTTTGTTTTATATATCATGTTTTAAAAATGGCCCACAAGTATCAGAACTGCAAATAATGTGAATTATGGTCATCAGTGACCGATGATGACTTGCGTTATTTTGAACAAATCTTTGAGTCAGTTTGAATCTGGAAGTTGCTTTTCTGTGAGAATACTGTAATTTCCTATTATAGCTCTTGTTTTATTCTAGGATTTAGTGAATAACTTTGGAAAAATATTTTTAAATTGCAGGACTTTGAATCCTTATGGCTTATTCTTGATGACAGCAAGAATGATAAAGTCGACTATGGAGAATTTACTCGTGCCATATTTGGAGAAATGAATGAATATAGGAAAGCGTTTGTAAGAAAAGTAAGTTTTGTGGCATATATTCTAAGTGTAGCTGTTTTGCAGTCTTACTTTGGAGTTAGTTATTCGTCATGTTCTGGTGGTTGTTTTTTTGTTGGTTTTCTTAAATTGTGCATCTGGTGATTGACTTTTTAAACTCTCAGATCAGTTTATTAAAATAAATGTGAATTAGGGGACTGGATGCTGTTTGAGATTATAAACTCTAGAATTATTTCCTTTATTATTTTGAGTTTATGCGTATGTGTGCTATTCTTACAGTTCAGTCCAGTGTATAAAGCATCTGGCACCGTGAAACTGTCTCTGTTTCCAGAAGTCTGTTTCCTTGTTTTGGCAAATCACTATGTCTGTGTGCAGATTTTTTTCCCTCGGTGTCTGAACTAAGAGGCAATAATACTTGCCTTCTTTGAGAGCTACAATTAGATTCATTATATTTGTGAGACTTCTTATATTTGAAATGCGATTTGTTCTATGTCTCATGTAATGCGAAGCCATTTGCAGTGTGAAACACTGATTACAAACCAGCCAATAGAGGAGCGACTGACAGGATATCAAGATCGAGAAAAATGACATGTACTTTCATACTTTGAATCGTGAACAATCTGACTCCCCTAGCCTCATGTGTCAAGCATGTGTATTTGAGTAAACTGAAATGAAAACGACGCTGCTGTTAGCAGTGCTGAAGAGGCTGTGTTGAGGCCTCTGTCAGAACGATGCAGGAATCTTAGTAATTAGAGAAGGCAGAAGGGAAGCAGCTTAACTTCTGATTCTAAGGATGAGCTAGAAATCTGGGAGAGAAGAAAAATGTTTTTCAGTTGGTAAGGGTACCACATTTGATGTGAAAGCTGTTGAGATAAAATAATCATGAAACTCCATAATCTAGAATCGCTTTCTGGTATCTGGTGCCTTACATAAAATAAGTAAGTCGACATAATCCATAGCGCAAGATCTGAAAGTATGGGGTGGGTAGGTAGTTAAGATCTTTGTATCTTTCCACTTTTTTTTTTTCCTTATATGCTTATGTGAAACTTTTTTTTCCCTTATAGGCTTATATGAAACTAGATTTCAACAAAACTGGGAGCGTGCCTATGGTAGATATCAGAAAATGTTACTGTGCAAAGAAACATCCTCTAGTATTGGCAGGGAATTCACATGAACAGAAAAAAAAAAAAAAAAAAATCTGTAACTGCTGAAGTCATCTTGTTAGCAGAGATACCGGATCCAGAAACGGGTTGCAAATACAAACTGTTTTCATATCGGCTTAGACTCGAGCTGTTAAGGGGAACTTTTTTCCTCTGGTGACCTATAAAGTGTCTATCTGGAACGTGACTATAAATAGTAATGGAGTTCCTATACGCAATTTTAATACTTGCTTGCTGCAAATACTGCATATATGCAGAGTAGTTTTTTTTTCCCTACCTGTGTAGGACTACATGTAAGCAGTTATTCCTCAGCTTTGATGTGCAAGTTATGAGTGACACATGTGATACTAGTAATTTTCATTTAGGAGGATACTCTCATTTACATATTACTGTTTTTTCCATGAAAATATGCAAGGTTTCCAACTGACACTGAACATACTCAGCACCTGAAGTTCCTTCTGAATAAATTATTCATTTATTTCTGGGGCAGGATTGTCATCCTTTATAGAGGAAATGTTGGTATCTTCATTATTTTTTCAGGATTCTCAAAAATGTTTAAGCTCTGCCATTGAAAAAAAATTGGAGTTTAAGTATTTGTATGTCAGTTTCTAAAATAACATCTCCATGTACCAAACTAGTGATTGCAAAAGTCTCCCTAGTGTCCTCACCCTTTCTGTTTTACCTGTAGAAGAGGGGGTTTTGTGTTGCCAGTGATTTTAATGGTAACACATGAAGACACGTGGTGATATAGGGATGTTACACATGCAATTTTTTCAATGCTGTAATGCTGTATCTTTTGCATTTTTTCTCAATGCTATGAAATCATCTTGAGTATAATTTTTAAGTCTCTAGAACACAGATGTAAATTGCAGAACACTTCAAATGCAAACTTGCATCTTAAGGTTTTCCTAGAGCTTTGAACTTGTATTACATTAAAATAGGCTTTATTAGAAGATCATTTCTGAATTAACGAAATTTTAATTTACAAATGCATTATTCAGTTTTTGCAGTCATTTGAAGAAAAAAAAAAAAATCTTCCTGATCTCATAATTAATTGAAATTGACTGTGGCCTCATGTTTCTGTTGATATTTAAGGCTATCATGCTATTAAAGTAAGATGACTTCTGCAGCTGGTATTAAGTGAGCCAGTGACTTAACTCTGAAATCATAATGTTGAATTTGTTCAAGAAAAAAATACTTGCAAGCTAAAATTTGAAAGGTTCTTGCCTGAAGTATATTAAATGCTATATATTCGCTGTTCTTGAAAATATATTTAATGGAAAAATATACTTTCACAGGCAAAGCTACAGAAGAAGAAATTAAATCATCTTTTCTAGAAACGTTAGGAGAGTCCTGCAGCAATCCCAATGAAGTGTCCTATTCTGAGTTTGAAGATTACTATGAAGGATTAAGTATTGGAATCATGGATGATGATGATTTTGTTAATATCTTAAGGAACGCTTGGGGAATTTAGAGTGGAAAACGACAAAAATGAAGAGAAGACATTTTCTAAACAAGGAGTAAGCTAAATAAGGGAGGATTTAGTCTTGATGTGCATTACTTCATAATTAGAGTCTTAATCTGACTTCAGGGACTGAAAATTTTAGATGCTTTTAGAATAATACATGACAAATTTCTTAGAGTCTGTTGAGGTATGCTAACCACTTTTTTAATATAAATGCTGTTCGTTCCTTTTCATTGGAAATAATAAAGGCTGTTCCCCATACAAAAGGCATCATTTGCTTGATATTAGAAGAAAGTGGCCTATCTTAAAATAAGAGGGAATTGGAATACTAAGATGCATAAAGGAGTGTATGCAAGAGAATATTTAGTTTTATGATGCACTGTGAAAAGCTTTAGATTTGACTGTATAAATATCAATGGTAGCTTTTCTCCAGAGTTTTCTTCTTATAAAAATAATATGTTTATTCTTATAACATTCTTTGTCTCGTTTCATGTTTCTTATGCTCGTACTGAGCTTGAAAGAGAGCAGGTCATCTTTTTCCAATTTTGAGGATGTCTGCAGTACTGAAGGTGCAGAGGTGTTCACACCAATTAGCCCTTTGGCCTGTGGGCTATCTTGACTGATCTTATTTGTTCGTCTTGGTCAGGCGTCCGAAGCTGAGTATTGAGTCCCAAAGATTTTAATAAGCACACATATATTTTGTAATGTACTTCTTCCTTTCCTATATTTTGCTAAGTGGTTTTCAAAACAAATAATTTGTGTTTAAATATCTGGTTTCTTACTTGGTGTTGCTGTGATTTATTTTTTTTCTTTAACCCAAAACTTAGCAATGATACTCTTTGTCAAACTGATACATAGCATTTCCTATCTACTCTGAAAGTACAAAACACAAAAGTGTAAAAATAAATAAATAAATTTTAAACCCCCACCTCTGTCACAACACAAATTAAACCATGAATTAAAATATTTGTTGCTGCTTCAAATATTCAGACACATACACTTTTCAATGTAATACATCTTGTTAATTCTGTAGAATTCTTTGTGTTAAAAAACTGTATTACTACTTAGAGATAGCCTTTGCTTTCCATATAGCTGTCCCAAAATTAACTGTATGTTGAACTGCATTTCTTAAGCCTATGCAATTAAAATATATTCATTTTCTCTGTACTTATCTGCCTGGTTTTGAATTTATAGTCTGTGGTTAACAGAACCTTCCTCTGAGACAGAATTTGTGTTTCATAGGAATTTAAGAGCAGGGCTGGAATGAATGCTGAAATGAGGGACCTTGGTCCCTCTGTGGCTGACTGGTTTGTTCTGATACAGCACTTTGTTGTTCTAATAGCTTGTGCATTGTTATGTTTTGATTGTTTGTACCCTGTCCTCTGTTGTAAGTAGAATTGCAATTTCTGCTCTAGATCCTCAGATGAGGGATTTTGGGAGTTTCTTTTGGGGCTGCAAAAGTCCGCGTGTATCGGTTTATAGAGAAAGGCAAATTCTGTCAATGCTTATTCTAAGCAAGAATTCTGA